TTGTTGGCATTAAAATCTAAATGCATCGCTTCGTACGGATAACTTTCCGAGTTGAGATGCAGTTTTAAATTTCGAATATTGATGTTATCGAAATTGGCGGCTCTTGCTTCGTGTGAAAACTTTTTACCGCTTCGTTGAAATGCCACAATTATCCATCGTGGTTTCTCTAGTTGAGTTGAAGTTTTGATTGGCCATATATCCAACTGTGCCTGTTTTAAAGCGGGCAATTCGTACAGTTCCCATTGACGAAATGGCATTGTGATTATAGCATCCTTATTGATGCGTTCGTATAGGCTAATTTTGGCGCTATCACTAACGGTCACGTGAGGGACTTTCCATTGAATTTTTGTTAATGTTATTGATGCATCGTCGGCGGTACCGATGTAGCAATTGGCATCGCTTCTAGCACGAATTAATACCAATTCTTGTCGCATGTTTACGATAACCTGTCGATAGTCCTCCATGCATCCGAATATGTGTTTCAGCGGAATGCAAACAGCGAAATGCTTCTCCTTGTTGCTCTTATTGAAATCTACTTGAAGGGATTCATCGGTGGGTGACCACCCCAAGTGTTTGAGACCTTTGCTTTCAGTAGACGTATACGATACGTATCCCTTCAGTGAGGATGTAATACCAGGATTCCTGCATACATCCACTTTCTGACCTCCCAACTCATAGCGGATTTCTTCGAAAAGGAATGGCGCGAAATTGTTTGTTAGGTTGCATGTTTTTGCGATGGCGCCCTCTCCTTCCGGTTGACGCCATTCAATTTTTCCTTCCAAGTACAAAAAACTGTCGTAGGTGGCGCTTATCAGCTCTTGATTTTGAATTAATATTCGTATTTCACTGGAAAGTCCGTAATCCGAAGATCCTCCGTATGGGAGATAGGTGTGAATATCGGATTTAACAATCGTTTCGTCAAAGTGTACGCTTTGAAAGACGTTTAACGAGTCTGCTGCCGCCGCCATTTTGCACTTTCAGGCCAATGCCTGGGCTCTGTCTCGATTGAGAATAACTCGATTTCCGGTCACCTTGTTTATTTATAGCGTTGAGGAAGGATGGCAATGGACCTTGATTAATACGTAACCCCATATTCTTTTAACTCTAATCGTACTGTAAACGGTTCACTTTCCCCGAAATCGATCGGTTCACCCTTTTGATTCGTCAACTTTATAGTTATATTGCTAATTCTACTGGTATTTACTTCCAGATATTGAGTATTACTAGGAATTTTATCTAAGCGGTAACCTGGTGGAACGGAAACGTCTATTTCGTAAAGGACCTTAGCACGATTTCCGTTTCGATAGGATCCCGTAATGAGATTGCACTCTATGTGAATGTTAGTGTGCTTAATGATTTGAATATCTAAAGCAGATGTATGTAGAACGTTCGCTTCCAATATCCTCGATTCGAAACCGAGCATGCGCCCTATGCAGTCTCTTGGAGTGAAATCTATATGAAATTCGCAATTAAGTTCGCACTTGAGCGTATTGTTATTTGCACGTAGACTAAAGCGACTTGTAGGAATGTGAGCTTTTATATACTCGCTTATCTCTTCCAATTCGTAAGCACCATGCGGAATTGTTATTGCCTTGGAGTATATTGAGCTATTTGAATCAGTTTTATAGTAAAACTTATCGTTTCCCGCGTGAATGTTTCTTATGCTGTTACAGCCATAAAACCCCACCATCCCGATAACGTACATTTTCCCCGAAGGAAGTTCAATAGGTGGATAGAAATCGTGACTCGCCGTATTTCCAACACCCTCTATGCTGAACGTCGTCGACATGATTACCGCTACTGCTCGCTTAGTCAGTGTTGCTGTTATTTATACAGAAATTTTAAGCACAGATGGCCGCAATTCGTTGTACCAAATTGTTGCTCTTGCCCGTAATTATAATAGATTTTACAGTCGCGGAAATACTCGATCACTTCTCGTGGTGGTGGAATATTACCGAAACTATCATAGTACCAAACTCGTCTACCACGTTTTTTGTACGAGACCCAATGAGTACCACGCCCCCTTTGACTGTCTAAATTAATAACCCCGGATTCATTTTTCCATGGCGATATAGGCATATTATCTCGCATAAACACATCCCTAAAGTATGGTACACACCCTTTTGCGTGCTTACGTAGATCTAAATCTGTTAACGGCCGCTTAGGCAATTTTTTGAAGTTTTTTTTTTTTAAATGCAACGCCAAACTGCCTCCCGATTTGTAAGGTTTCAAGTACAGCGCATTGCCACTTTTATTTCCTATAGCGATCGATTCCATCGTGCGATTATGGCGTGAAGTTTCATCTTGAATTTTACGTGCGTCACGAGATGCATTAACTGCTTTAGCAATGCCTGCCGCGCCGCCGGCTAAAGCTCCCACTGCCGATAAACCGGCGAATAGGGGTATCAAAAATGGTAAAAACCCACCCTGTTTTGGTATGGGAATAACTCTAGGTACGCTTACATTTTTCCTACCACCTAAATTTTTTATGGCCATATTTGCTGCAGTAACAGCTGACTTTATCACATCCGCGGTATTGCCGCTTTTCCTCATTTTCTTAGCAATCGTCCTGCGCAAGTTCAATAAACTACTCTTCTTCTTATTCTTCTTCACTCCCATCCCCAACTTTCGTTTTACCTTCATGATGGTGCCCACTGTAAGAGCCGCTGCTCGTTCCCCTAACTTCGTGTCGGAAGCTTTTAACCGTTCCCAAGCTTTCCGCTCTAGAACCCGATCTGCTCGATGTCGACCTTCCAAGTCTTGGTTATCCCTATAGCTAATGTCGTGCTCTTTACACTGGGCGTCTAGTGGGTTTATGCCGGGATCACCTCGCTTTAGTCTTTTGTCTAGTTTAGTACCAGGACCGCAGTATTGATATCCGGGAAGATGTAGTTCAACTGGAAGTTTGTTTATGAGAGTATTAACCAAGCCCCTCCCATCCGTACACTTCCGCTTCCGATTCAACATTATTGGCATGATACAATGCGGTGGCATATTTATAGGGAAATCTAGGCACAATGAAAATACTAAACTGCAGTAACCGTTTATTGAGGAGGTTGATATATGTGATACATTAAATAAGTAGGTCTATAGTGTAATATTTCCATCATGCACACTGTATTGTGAGAATTTACATTATTCTTATAGTTTAGCACATCTTCAATATCGCGATAGATGAAGTCGTCATCGTCCTCCTCATCGTCGTCACCAAACTCCATTTTACGAAAGTGACGGTAGTTAATCACCTGTTCGATAAAATCTTGATAGAAACAGGACAGAGCGTATGATTCCAGTAAATCAAATCGATAGTTGATTGATATTTTTCAAATTAAACAGTTCTTCAATATCGTTCTTTCCCATCGTGCAATATTGAGAGCTGCTGTTGCCACATTGTATTCTTACACTCTTCAACATTTTTTCAGTAGTCCCTTTCACTGACTCCCAGGTATAGTAGATGGTGATATTACTATTAAGTGTATCCGAACTTTGATCTCGTTCGACATCTTTCTCTTCGTTCACATTCGACCAATCTATCCATCTTTCCATCTCTTGTGATCGGAAAAACTTCATTTCGAGATATGTTTGCCATTTTAAAAGTGTCACCCAATCTTCCCTTTTCATGAGCATAACACTGCCGCATGCGATGCGAAGGATTGGTTCAAGGTTAAGGTGTGTACTGTAGCCGATTTCAATGTATTTTGAATTATCTAAGCTGTCGAAGAGGGTGTAAGAGGTACAATCGATTAAGTGTTCCTCAATCGCTTTGCTATGCATATTTTCAACTTGAGAAGGTGATGGTGGCGTTGATCCATATCCATTATCACTACAACACCAACACGAGCACGTGAAATAGTTACTATTACAGCTATTTTTCGTCGCCATGGATGATAGTTTCTTTAGTGTATTCATGAGAGAGCGAAGTACACAACGACGATCACCCCACAACTGAAGTATTTTTTTCATGGGACATTCATTTTATTTCGAAATGAAAAGACAATTATCTATAATATTATGTTTTATTTACACAACAACAACAACAACACTAATCTATTGTTTACATAAATTTTAAATTGGTAGTTTTTCCCGCTGATCCGACGCTTTCGATGAATACATCCCTAGTCTTCAAGGACTCTTTGAGGACGTTCAGGCGATCGCCTTCCTTGAAGTATTCATAGAATCGTAATGGCAGCACACATTTAAAATTTTCAGTTTCCAATACTATTCGATCACCATATTTTGTATTCATGGTGTCGGCATTCACAATTCTAAACTTCTCCCCCACTTCCAAGTCCTTGACATTTTTGAATACTTTACAGAATGTACTGTTGTTTAGTGCGTTAAGATCCATTTTAACTGTTTCAATAACACCACTGGACTGATTGAAACCATCGCTACCTCTCACCCTTATATTTCCAACTCGTGACCTTGAAATCTACCGCGATACACTGCCGAACGATGATCCGCTTGTAATACTGGAGAAATTATTGCATGATATTGCTCGATTCTACGTCGGAATCGAACTCTATCGACTGCTACAGTTTCCCATGGACCTTTCCTTGCTGCCCAATAAGCAAAATGCCACGTCACCATTACATATGCTCTATTATTGAATTCATTGAATTTAACACTCTTCACCGGATTCTGAAGATTCATCCTTCCACGCTTGCAACTGTTCACTAAACTGCTCCAACTTTGCATCCCTTAGTTTCCGGATAATGCACTCGTCACATATTTTATAACTTAAGTAACTGTCACATATTGCCTCTCCTAGCTCATACTTGGCTGCAATAGCTTGGCACTCCTCTGGGCTGTATTCACCGCGTCCATATATCGCCTCGTGCTCTGCATCAAATGCTAATGCAGAAAAATGCTGCTTAAGACGTCTCACGGCCGTCACGAAATCGGTAGCTTTGGCCCATGATTCCTCAGCATATGCCATCCACGACATCTTTAATACATGTACACCTTGTAACGAACATATAGATGCTTATATAAGCGTCAATCCCCACCACCAGTCATATTTAGAATATAGTGTGATTTAGAATCGGCCGTACACTACCATCGACAAGGCCCTCGACTCAGGCGCAAACCAAATTACTTTAGCTCGGACGCAAACCTCCGATACTTTATCTCGAACGCAAACCTCGACCCCTTGACGTTAGCACTGGCGCAAACCTCGACCCCCTTGACCTTAGCACAGGGGCAAACCTCCGATACTTTATCTCGAACGCAAACCTCGACCCCTTGACGTTAGCACTGGCGCAAACCTCGCCAGCAGAGTTACAAACCTAGTTACTTTTCTAGTGACTTTCTCGCGTCTAATGACTTTTTGATTTAGAATCGGCCCCTATATCACTAGCAGAGTTTCAAACCTCTCTAGTGACGCAGAGTTTCAAACCTTGTTACTTTTCTAGTGACTGTTAGCAGAGTTTCAAACCTCTCGTGACCTTCTAGTGACTTTGAGCAGAGTTTCAAACCTAGTTACTTTTCTAGTGACTTTTTTCACATCTAGTGACTTTTCTAGTGACTTTTGAGTTAGAATCGGCCTTATAACACTACTATCTTTAATTTTTACGACCAAACATTGTAAAAATGTCCTTATGATCTATTTTCAACTTGTTCATCAGTCGTTCATTTTTGGAGTGTCAATTTTTTGGTAACCCTGAATGTGTTAAATCTCAAAAAACTTAAAGGGATATTTTTAGGGAGACGATCTTTTGTTTTGAAGACCGAACATGAGACAAATACTTATTTGTTTTATATTATAGTCCAAAAGTGGCGTATGTATGGTTTTAGTTTACAGAAAGTCATTCACTTTTGATTTTGTGCAAAGAAAAACGTATAGGTACCAAAGAGTATTTTTAGGGAAACGATCTTTAATTTTAAAGAACATGTGAAACATTCTCATTTGTTTTACGGTTTGACTCAATTTTTAGGAAGTTAAGCTTCCCTTTTTTCTGAAATCTGA